TTCCCCTTGGATGCAAATAATAAAATAGGAGCTTAAAAGCATTTACTTTTGAATACTCCAAATATCTTACTTCTTTGTTCCCAGATGCACTTATTTTTGCCCATAAAAACGTGTCAGTTTCCTGCTTTCTGGCAAGCATGTCTCAGTGTTTGCAGATGCTTTTGTCTGAACTTCTGTGAGGCTGGGGTTGCATTAGAACCTCAAGCATGCTAGCCAGTGTGTTCCCTGGCTTCATTTCCAGTTTCTCTTCAAGGGTCTGAGAATATTAAATTTTTTTTGGTGGTGCTAGGGATTGAACCCAGGGCCTTGATACATGCTAGGCAAGCCCTCTACTAACTGGGCTATATCCCCAGCCACTAAATCTTTACAGTGCATTTCAACATATAAAGAACTAACCCAGAGGACTGAAGATGTAGCCTAGCACACACGAAGCCCTGAGTTCAATCACCAGTAAGGAAGATGGGGAGAGAGGAACAGAACCAACTGGGATCAGAAGACAGTATAAACTAAAAGAGAAGGAGCTTTGGGGCTGGGGTTGTGGCTTAGTGGTAGAGTGCTCGCCTAGCACAGGCGGGACTCGGGTTTGATCCTCAGCACCACATAAAAATAAAGGCATTGTGTTGTGCCCATTTAAACCTAAAAAAATAAATATTAAAAAAAAAAAAGAGCAGGAGCTTTGAGGCATATGACTTTAGACAAATATAATAACCTGACTCAATTTCTTTATTTGCAAAATTCAGAGCTGGAAATGTAGCTCAGTGGGTAGAGCCTTGCCTGGCATGTGTGACTGAACACACTGGATTGAATCCTTGGAACTGGGGGGTGGTGGAGAATTCTACCAACTGGCTGGGTTGCTAGAAGACTATTTTAGTTGGCCATAAAGAGTTTAGTAGACTGGATGAAACAGTCTCCCTGTTTCATCTGCCAAATGTGTGCAGTTCCCTGAAGTTCCCTTGAACACCAAAGACTTAAATTCTTAAGACAATTTGTTTTTCATCATTCCGGAAACTGGAAGTCCAAGATCACTCAGCAGATTGGGTTTCTTCTACAGGTTCTCTACTTTGGCTTGCTGATGGCTACCTTCCCCCACCACCCCCTCTTTTTTTGGTACTGGAAATTGAACCCAGAGGCACTTTGCCATTGAGTTATATCCCAGATGGATCCCTTTTTTTTGAGACTTAGGGCTTTAATAAATTGCAGAGGCTGGCCTCAAACTTGTGACCTTCTTGCCTCAGCCTCCAAAGTTGCTGGGATTACAGGTCTATATCTCCTTGCCCAGCTATGTTCATCCTCTCCATGAGTCCATACATGGCCTCTGATCTTCCCTCTGTGCTCCAATTTGTCAGTGTCCAGTTTTCTCTTCTTAGGAGGATTCCAATTACATCAGATTAGAGTCTAAAGACTTCATTTTAACTTAATTACCTCTTCTTTAAAGACTTCCATCTTAAAATATTATATTCTGAGGTGTGGGGATAAAGATTCAACATGTGAATTTTGGGGAGACAAAATTCAGCTAATAAAAAAAATCAAGTGACACGGAAGGGACTTGCTAAAAGCTCCCTTTTCTCCTTTCTTTGGCATAGGAAAAGAACTTGTGCCTTGAGATCATAAAAACATCATTTCAACTCCCGGTTCTACTGCTTGTTAATTATGTGATCTGGGGCAAGTTGCTTTGTCATCTGTAAAATGGGGATAAGACTATCTCCTTCAAAGGGGCTGTTGTGACAATACTGGGGTAGGTAGAATATCTTTGCTATCAATTGCCTTATTTCTTCCCAGTAGGGACTGTGATTATGCTTCCTATATGCCTTTTTTTTTTTGGTCAAAGTGCTTTGACAACTGGCTTTAGTGATGATCTGGGAACTAAATCACTGGTGACAAATCTGCAAAGATTTCAATTAAACACTGGCTGAGTAAAACAGAAGTGGCAGATGAAATAGCCCCAACAGGACCTTACTCAAGCAACTACCCACAAGTCCACATTAGGCCTCACAGTGCCAGACCATCTCCTTCCCAGTATGATGCATGTACTTCCCTTAACCTATCCTGTGATAGAATTTTTAAAATATATTTTTAGTTGTAGATGGACACAATAACTTTATTTTTTAATGTGGTGCTGAGGATTGAACCCAGTGCTTCACAGGTGGTAGGAAAGCACTCTACCAAGTCACAAGCTGCCCATCCCAGAGCTTACTGACCAGAAAGACCATAAAGCAAACAACATTCTGCAAAGGATTCTATTCAGCAAACTCCAGCAGCAGAAGCAGCAGCTTAACTGAAAAGTTGTTTTAATAGTTGCTTTTAGTCAGGAAGGCCTCTGGACAAAAGCCCCATCCTCCAGTTTCAACCACTCCACACCAGCAGCATTAAAAGGAACCTCCAGAAATGAGTATGACCCGTCCCATCATACCAACTGCATTGGCACAGTCCCAGGAGTGCTCCCCTAGAAGCATTCTGTACCCATCACCCACAAATGATCTGCTTGTCCCTGATGAAGTAGATATTGAGAATACAGTTAAAAAATCTTAATAGCTGTCTAACAATAATTCTATGTTTGTTGAATCTGTAATACAAATTTTATGTTTGAGGCTGGAGTGGAGGTCACTGGTAGAGCTCTTGCCTAGTGGGTACAAAGCCCAGAGTTCAGTCCCCAGCACTGGAAAAAAAAAAAAAAAAAAGCTGGTATTTTGTCAGTTTATTTTTCTAGATATTGTACTTAACAAAATCATTGATCTAAAACAATGAGTCCTGCAGCACACGCAGCTTAAACACTGGGTTACAGCTTCTAAGTATCTATGAATGTGAACAAGTATCTTTCAAAACTCAGCAGGATGCTGCCACTTAGGCCTTAGCACATCCCAATCCAAAAGAAAAAATAAATAACACTTTTTCATTCTGCTGTATGAGAGAAAAAAATAATAGTCATTTTCAATCAGAAATTTAATAAGTTTAAATTTAATCAATTTCCAGGTACATTCTAAACTTTGACATTGAAAGTGATCAATGCCCAGCAGGTTTTTACATTTAGAGACAGGGTCTCGCTGAGCTGCTTAGAACCTCGCTAAGTTGCTGAGGCTGGCTATGAACTCGAAATCCTCCTGCCTCAGCCTCCCAAGCCACTGAATTTAAAGGTGTGTGCCACAGCACCGGGCCTCAGACCCCAGAAAGCTTTACTCAAATGTGTATGCAAATTATGGACAAAATACACTGCTCAGACCAGGCAGTATCATAGGGGAAAATCCTGTAACCCAAGGAAATTCTTGGGTCAGGAAATCTGGATTCAAATCTTTGCTTTATTGTCTGAAAGATTTTTGATGTTGGGTATGTGATACTGTATTTCACTGCATAATTGTTGCCACTACAAAATCATAGCATCCTGGTTGTTTCAGTCCAAAAATTGTTTTAAAACTTTTCATCGCATAATTGTTGCATGGTATAGTTCTGTTCCACAGCTGCTTAAAAAGGTAAACAGGGGCTGGGGTTGTGGCTCAGTGGTATAGTGCTTGCCTCAAACGTATGAGGCACTGGGTTCAATTCTTAGCACAACTTATACATAAATGAAAATAAAGATCCATTAACAACTAAAATAATAATAATAAAAAGGTAAACAGAGCAGTAATGTATTCACCAGGGCATATGGATGTGCATCTGTTTTCTTGAGTACTGTGAGCCTCAAACCTAGAATTCTCAGTACATGAGCACTAGTCAGTGTATTTCCAAAAGCTGACTTGCGTGGCCTATTGAGAGTGCTGCAGTACTAGGGTAAACAAACCTTACGTGAGTGGCAATGAGGATGGTGCATCAGGTAATGAAAACAAACACAGTGGCACAGAATCTTTGGACAGATGATTACACTTTCTAAGTCCATACTTCACAACACTATAGTAAATTTTCTCAAATGTAATATTTCAACTACAATGTACAAAAAAATTAATGTTAACTTTTTTTCAGAAATATGTTCATTAAACTGTCATAAAGAAATGATGTGTGGAAGTGAATCCTAACACGCCCTGGGGCCCCCTACCAGAGCACAACTGGAATGTAACCCGTGAAGTTCCTCTAAACCCCCCTGTCCCTCCTGATGGAGTCACAGACTTTGGGACAGGAGTACCCTGTGCTATTTGCTAGTAAACCAATAAACCACCTTTTTCCTCTTCCTCAAAAAAAAAAAAAAAAAAAAAGAAAAGAAAGAAAGAAAGGATGTGTGTCACTTTGGACTACTTAATTTTAAGGTATATTCACAAATATTCTAGGCATCCTAATTCTGCACCAAAGACAGTTTAGTAATAAAGATTTTTAATACCAGAAAAAATATTTGTAAAAAGTTTAAAAATGGTTGCACTCCTTTTTTGCAAAAATAAATTGGCATAAAATCCATGATTATATTGTGAAATAGAGTAATCTCACTGAGCCAGTTTCCTTAACTACAAAATGTAGATTACAATTATCTACTTGATCTACATAATAAGATTATATGAGATTCAAATGGATATTTCTGGAAAGTGCCTCATAAAGACTAAAGTGCAAGAGATGTACACAATGGGATCAATAGTTTAAGCCCAGTCTTCAAAGAGTTGACATTCTGGGGAAATGGTCCCCAGAATGGTAGTACAACTACAGAATACTGATGATCTTCAAATATTCTGTTGATCTAAGATTTACCAAACTAGAAATGTTGCCTTCAAGTTCTTCCTTGTGCAGAAAGCACTCTTACTTCCTAATGAACTAAATATGGATGTGCATATTTAGCACATCCAAATCTGCCAGGCACCACGCACCAATGTAGACACTCCGAGGGAAGAAGCAGAAGACAGTTCCTGTCCTGCACAGCTGGCAGGTAGTGGCAGGCTCACAGCAGTGTGTGAGTTGGCAAGAACCAAGAAGAGCAACTCTTCCTGTTCCAACTCATTCAGCTATCTGAAGGCTCACTCAAAAGGACACAAAATCAGAAATGAACCATTTCACTCCTGTACTTTAGGCAAGTGAAGACAAAAAGACCGTAATGTATTTTAGCTTTATTGAAGACATATTACAGTAGACAAACAAGTAGACAAAACACATGCTCTATAAAATATACATTCTTATGTGTGAGAAAATATAAATATCAGGAAAGAACCACACCGAACAACAAGTTGGCTTACACTTACTTTTCTTTAGGTACATCTAATACCAGGGCTGCTCAGACTGACATCCTCTAATAAGGGAAAAAGAGAACAGGGGAAAGTATAGGGTAGAATTAAGTCTCTATGGATCAAGAGGCCACATTAAATAGCCAAGAGATATTTCAAGAGCACTTAACCACCTGCTGATCAATTTCTCTTCCAAAACAGTTATAATTGGCATAAGACCACTTTACTTCTTACATTTGAAAATAGGCACAAACAAGTCAAGCTGTTTCTTCACCTACCCACACCCTTTGCGGATTATTAGGACTGATAAGAAACAGCACACAACCTTGAAAGAGGGGGCTTGAATCTTAACTCTTAAAACACACACCCCTGGAGACTGGACATGTAGCTCAATGGTAGGGCACTTGCCTAAAATATACAAAGCCCCAGATTTGATCCCCAACACCAGAAAACACAAACACACCACCTTACTACTTACAAGCCCTCCAGGTGATTCTTGGGGTTTCAAGTGTTTTAAGTGCAATTTGTAACACATCTCTTAATACAGAACTTGGGGAAAGAAGGGAAGGAGGGAGGAAATAAATTAACTGGAGTACAATCTAAATAAATATCAGTTAACCTCAAACGAAAAGTTAAAGGTAGAAGAGGTAGGAAAGAAAAGCCCCTGCTGAGCTGAAATGAGAAAGATCATTTAACAGAAAAAGTTACTTGCCAAGAAAGAAAGCTCAACCTTCTAAGGTCCAGCTGTTTTCACAATTACCTCTATAATCTGTATTAATGAGCAAATTTAAAAATGAAAGCTGTCACATAAAATGATAGCACATTTGGGGCTCGGGGCTCAGGGCACAGCTCAGGGGCAGAGCATGTACAGATTCAAAACCCAGACCCAGGGGAGAAAAAAAACCCAACAGCAAACTTACCTCTGTTGATCTATTACCCCCTTGGCATTTCTGTGGTATTATAATTATGAAAAAAGGCCACACCAGGTAAAATATTGAATATAAAACTGAACACTATAATTCCAACACCATTCCAACTGGGAATAGATAAGAAAAAAACCAAGTTCTCTCATTTCTATTTATGACATAAACACTTGAATGTGCACATATATAAATTTTTATATATGTATATAAAACATACATATACATACATGTACACATATATAAAACCTTCTTATGTCTCTTATCCATTCTCTATTTTGGAATATATCTTTTCATATTTAGTCAAGTTCAGAATTTTTTATCCAATCATTATCTTTATATATCCTAATATATCTGACACCAAAAAAAAAAAGAAGAAAAATTAATCAAAGAGCAAAAAGGAGAGTTATAATGCAACACAAGCTTTGAATTTTTCACCATAGTAATGCTGCTTGCATTAGTTCTCTTTAGAACAAGCCCATAATTTTACATTTTCAGTCATGATCATGGGTCACATCCTTTTTGTTACTCATGGTCCCAAAGTTCTTTAGTTTAAAAAAATTCTGAGCTGGGAATGTGGCTCAGTGGTAAAATGTTTGCCTAGCACATAAAAGACCCTGGGTTCGATCTCCAGTGCCATCAAAACAAAACAAAAACTGAAGTACTCTCAACTAAACACAAAAGATTTTGAAGGGTAAAATTCTAAGACTGTCAGATTGCATGGAAAGTTCCAATAGCAATAAAGAGAACTTAAAAGTCATCATGCCCATATTCCATCTCAAACAGAAATATAACACTATTAAAAGATTATTAGACTCTCAATGTACCTTTCCCCCAAAAGGCTGACTGTTCCACTTGTCAGACAAATGTGATTGTTTAGAGAGTTAACTCATATAGAATTATTAGCAGGTATATGGTGCACTTTCATGTAGATGACACCTGTCCTGTCATTTCATATGACAACCTTTAAGTTAAGGTTTTTATAACATCTCCCTTTAGGGAGATAGGAAAATGGGAAACAGTCTAAACTGCTTTAACAGCCTAAGTTCCTTTTATAACCCTTTAATGGGCAAAGTACAGGCAACACGAAAGTTACAGAAAAATACACACTCAAAGCATTCTGATGTGGCACTTTAAGGTGCAACTGTACACTGGGCCAGGTTCCTGACATTTCCTATTCTAGAAAGTAGCTTGCATACAAGGAAAGTATTTAGAAGATGCCGATAAACAGAAAGTTAATGGCTTAAGTAGAGTTCCTGTGTTAGTAAGACTTCAAGTTCAATGAAACTGCAGTATGGTGGTGCATGCCTGTAATCCCAGTGGCATGGGAGGCTAAGGCAGGTGGATCACGAGCCCAAAGCCAGCCTCAGCAATTTAGTGAAGTACTAAGCAATTCAGTGAGACCCTGTCTCTAAATAAAATACTAAAAAGAGGGCTGGGGATGTGACTCAGTGGTTAAGCGCCCCTGGGTTCAATCCCTAGTACCAAAAAAGAAAAGAAAGAAAAAACCTAAGAGGGGCACAAATTAAGAACATTTATGTATCCCTATTAAAATGAAGGGATAACTGGGTAGGGAGACAGATTTCTCTTAGCATTTGTTTGCCTTTCTTTGCAACATCCCTGATTAAATTAGCATTAAGCGGACAATGTACTGATAGAAAAAAGCATGGGTAAGCCATCAATCCTGTTTACATTAGATGGTGAAGCACTGATCAGTGTTTTACGTGGTTAGAAATACATGCCCACCTGTAATCCCAGCTACTGAGGAAGCTGAGGCAGGAGGATCTCAAGTTCTAAAAAGCCTAAGCAACTTTAGCAAGATCTTGTCTTAAAATAATTAAAAGGGCTGGACATATAGTTCAGTGGTAGAACATGTGCAAGGACCTGGGCTCAATCCTGTACCAGAAAGGGAGAGGGGGGAAAAAAGCAATTAAGTAAATTCTTCCTAGGATTAGATGTTGTAGTTATTATTTTAAGACCCAAGGTAGGCTCTTTGTATTTAGACAGATTCCTGACTAGTTATTCAGGCAAGCTTGGAATATGTGGGTGGAGGTTTCAACCATTTGAGCTGATATAAGGAAGGATAACCTGGCTCCTCAGGGCACCAGACTTTGACACCACTGTCAGCATGAGCAGCATGGAGGGAGCACACCTGGATGGAGAGAGCAGTGATTCACACACTACAGTCTCTAGAGCAGTGACTCACACCTGTTTTCTGCCCTCTCCACATATAATAGCTAATATTCGTGGGCACAAACTCTGGCAACCCAGCCTAACTCCACATTTACCACTCAGGAAAATCTCTCTTTGAGTTAGAGTACGATAACTTTGAGTACATTAGAAAGGGAAGCAAGGCACAAACTAGTTACAAATTAATTGTGGCCCACCTCTCAGATGATCTTGATACTCTGCTGTGCTGTAATTCTAGCATTCAGATCTGCTGCTCTAGAAAGCAAAGGTTGATTTTTCAACTGAGACAAAATTATTTAAGGTTACTGATGATAACTGTTTAGAAGTAGAATATTTTGCCAGGCAGATGGTGCATGCCTGTAATCCCAGCAGCTCAGGAGGCTGAGGCAGGAGGATCAGAGCTCAAAGTCAGCCCCCAGCAACTTGGTGAGGCACTAAGCAACTCAGTTGAGACCCTTTCTCTAAATACAATGCAAAAAAGGCCTAGGGATGTGACTCAGTGGCTAAGTGCTCCTGGGTTCAATCAAAACAAAATTTTTAAAAAAGAATATTTTTCCTCACAAGTATTTGTCTGTCTGTTTATGGTGCCAGGGACTGAACCCAGGGGGACTCAACCACTGAGCCCCATCCCCAACCCTTTTCTAATTTTTTATTTTGAGATAGTGTCTCACTAAGTTACAGAGGCTGGCTTTGAATTTGGAATCTTTCTGCCTCAGCCTCCTGAGTCACTGGGATTACAGGTGTGTGTCACCATGCCTGGCTCCTCATGAGTATTTCTTACACCATTATTCCTACTATAGAGGAAATAAATATGGATCAAGTTAGAGCAAGCAGTATCATTCTTGTTCAACTCTAACAAAATACTTCACAAAAGCAGCTTTTTATTAAAGTGGCATAATCCTCTTCAGCTCCTAAAAGAGCTAGAAAGGGCTGGAAAGAGCATCTAGTAAAATAAAATGCCTCGTTTCATAAATGAGGAAATTGAGCCTAGGAAAGTCCAAGGACTCACGCTTGATTACCCAGCTAGTAAAGAGCAGAGTCAGAAGTGAACCAGGTTTCTTAATTCCTGTCAGTCCAGTACAACCAATACCACAACCTCCTAAGAAGAGAGATGCAGACTGAAAAAGTTTAGAAAAACTGTCTTATTTAAGTTCAAAGTGAAAATGAACAGACTCTGACAGGTGCAAGAGGAAAAAGGTAACAGGTGCAAGAGGTAAAGAAGTGCTGCTGCCCACAGGAGAAAAACTGATTAAAACCAAGTAGAAAATTCAGCTAAACTTTATGACAAAAAGCTGAGAAAGGATGTGAGTTTAGAACCCTGGATATGCATGACTTAGATATTTTTAAGAGGTTAAAATTATATAGTTAAGAATATTAGAATAGAGAATCAAACAGTGTATAAAGAAATCTGACAGCACAAAGAAAGAACTTTAATCCACTATATTTCATTAGACTGTTAAGTTCTTCCTTCACATAAAGCTTTTTGCTATGAAATTTGAAGAAAAAAAAACTTTTTGGCTTAAATAATCACTTGTAAAAAAAACAAGGACCACTCTAAAGCTTTATAGTATAGGAACATCTTCTGTATGCTCTTCCTAAAAACAATACAAACACAGGAAGAAGCAATCTTTGGTTTCCCTGTCAATGAAGTATTTTGCTGAAAAAAGATAGTCCCCAAACAAGTCTTCTTCTGTTTATAAGGTTGTGATGAGACAGCCAGGCTCTGAAACAGCCTGGCTTTTAATGCTAGAAAGGGAATGTCACCTGGTGCTTGTAAATAGATGGCAAATGATTAAATGTATGAACCGTCTGTCGTGAAGCAGTTAATTTCACCAAGACTGTGTTATATGTGCATAATCACCAAGTACCCTGCCTCTATACATATACTTAACAAATAAGTTTTTAGAACTTTAGACAGTTTTTAGATCTAAGTTATACAAAATCTTTGATCTGAGAAGCTGCTGTCAATATAATAACTAGAGACACATTATATATAATTCTGGCATATCAAAAATATTTACATTACAACCAACACACATGGTCAATGAATAGAAAAATTATTTATAAATACACACATATTTACAATGAGTTCCCTGGGCAATAGGGACCAAAAAAAAAAAAAAAAACCTCAAGAATACAAAAACTTTTGACCTAATACCAGCTGGTCAAACTGGGATTCTTGCTGAAGACCTTGAATATCAAAGCCCCAGGCTCAACTACCTGCTTAAAACCACTGAAGAACCCCAGGCACACTTCCCAGAGGGCTCCAAAGTTATTTTTGCTCTTGGAAGGTAGAGTAGAACATCAAAGCAGTAATGTTTTCTCAGGGTTGTTCTGAGAATTAAGATAATTCCAGCAGGTTAAGCAGCAATCAGACCTTCCTGATAGGCAAAGCACACCTCGGCATATCTCCATGGAACCATCAGGAAGCACATTTGTCTTGTATTTTCCTCTGCCAGTGCTGCATAATTTTGATTTGATATACCCATTTCTGTCAGCTGTTACCCTTCCTTCATCAGGCATAAACCCAAATGCCTGTCCTACCTTGGTGTGGTCAGATGTAACCATGAACAAAGAGTAAAGCAAATGCTGACTTTGGGGTTTCTTCTGAACTCTGAGGTAGTAAGTACAAATTAGTTCACTTTTGTCTCTGCCCAGATTTTATCCTAGAGTGGGTTTCATGTACCCTCACTACCATCTTGAATGTTCCGAGTCCTACTAAATTCAAAAGCATGGTCATGTAACCTGTGGCAGGGCATGGGGGAAGAAGAGTCTGGATCTCTCTCTGCCAGGCCTTCATTTCGATGAAGTTGTGGTGACTCAAGGACTGGTTGTTGGGAAAAGGGCGGATGAGACAGGCCTAATTCTCTGTTTATGTTCCACAGAGGCCGTTGCAATGTTTCTGAGAATGAAAGACAAGAATTATCAGTGGTGACTAGAATTCAAAATTAATTTTCTAAAACTTAATGTCCTTTTAACCAAAACCCCAAAGACATAAAGATGCCCAGTATTCCTGAATAAGAACATGGAGAACAAATGTGTATTTGCCATATTCTTAGCCACAATTAAAAAAACATAACCATACAAACATTGAATACAGTAGTAATGACAATACTGTTCAAGTGCAAACCCAAAACAATACAGCTCTTGAATTTTATAAACTATCACTGTTTTTTGTTCTGTTGCCAATAGCAAACTGCTTTTCCATTAATGGAGACTCCATGCCTTTCAAGCATTTTAAATATGATAATATTTATAAATGTGTGATTTGGAGGAATTGTTTAAATTTTTTTTTCCTAATTTTCATTCTCTTCAGAATAGATTCTTTCAACAAGTAATTTTTTTTAAAGACAGAGTGAGTGAGAGAGAGAGAATTTTTTTTTAATGTTTATTATTATTATTTTTTTTTTAGTTTTCGGTGGACCCAACATCTTTGTTTGTATGTGCTGCTGAGGATCGAACCCGGGCCACACGCATGCCAGGCGAGCCCGCTACCGCTTGAGCCACATCCCCAGCCCTCAACAAGTAATTTTTAATAATGACTGTGTTGACTTCAATTTTTGTAGTGTAATGGCTGTTAAAGATTAACTATTTGGTCTAACTGAAGCCAATACAGAACTTGCAGCTATGTTTTTTCTTCAGTGACAAATAAAATACTTACAAAATTAAAAAAAAAAAATTGGAACTGTGGCTATTAGATCCTTATATTCAATGAATTTAACCAATTAATTTCTGAAACTATGCTGTCTTATGCTCATTCAGCTATTATTTTAGTGGTTCTGCTACATCAAAAATTAAATACTATACATACATGGAAAATAACTAAGAAGACAATGGTATCCTTATTATAATGAAAGTTTCATGATACATGAGTAATAACTGCTGATTTTGTGCTGCTGTTACATCTTTAAATGTTTTTGTTTTAAAAAACAAACAATCACTGTACTGGGGTTTTAGCTCAGTGGTAAAGCACTTGCCCCACACACGTGAGGCACTGGGTTCAAACATTAGCACCATATAAAAATTACAGAGATATTGAGTCCATCTACATCTAAAAAAATAAACAAACATCATTAAAAAAAATCATTGTCTTCTAACTTCTAGAATGTAAGAACCAAACAAATACAAGCAACAAATAATAACCAAAAGCAACTATATTAAATGACATTATCTATACTCTGGTTTCAAAAAAATCTGCATTTCTCTCATTTTTATTATAGTAGTGAACTATTTTCCTAAACACTACATTAAACATTAACTTCATTACATTAACTTCACCTGGTGCATTTTGGGAAAAGCTAACCTAACATTCTGGGAACCAAAACCCACAAATAAAAATCCATGTGAAAAGTAAGCTAAAGCAAGTTTTTCAAGCTTTAATATGCACAGAAATAACCTGGGGATCTTGTTGAATATATGGGCATTTTATCACTGAACTACATGCCCAGTCCTTTTTATCTTTTGAGACAGAGTCTTCCTAAGTTGCTGATTGTCTCTAAGTTGCTGCCTCAAACTTGTGATCTCTTGCTCCAGCTCCAAAGCAGCTGAGATTACACATGTATACCACCACAACCCAGCCATGACTGCCTTTCTAACAAGCTCTGAGGTAATGCTCATGCTGACAGTCCTAGCCCACACTTTGGGTAGCAAAAATCTATAGTACCCTAGATAAAGAATGGACAATGCACCAATGCACTCTCATTTGCTTATTTCCTTCTCACAGAACAGAATCAAAATTCAGGCATGCAGAAAGCTAAAAAAAAAAAAAAAAAAAAAAAAAGATGTGCTGCAGCTTTGGTTCTCCTTAAATCTTTTTTTTTTTTTGGTACCGAGAATTGAACTCAGGGATACTTAACCACTGAGCCACATCCACAGCCCTTTATATTTTATTTAGCGATAGGGTCTCACTGAGTTGCTTAGGGCCTTGCTATATTGCTGAGGCTGGTTTTGAACTCTCAATCCTCCTACCTCAGCCTCCTGAGCCACTGGGATTACAGGCATGTGTCACTACATCCAGCTTTGAACCATTAAAAAGAGTCACTTAAAAAATGTGACTTTTTAAAAATATATATATATTTATTTTTTAGTTGTAGTTGGACACAAGACCTTTATTTATTTATTTATTTTTTATACAGTACTGAGGAGTGAACTCAGGGCCTTGCACATGCTAGGCGAGTGCTCTACCGCTGAGTCACAACTCCAGCCCCTTAATGCGACTCTTCTAAGAGAAGGAAAAATTGATTTAGTGTTGGTGCATTTCTTTCCTGGACACTGAATGTAAACATAGAAGACTAACTTCAATAGCGGTACTTTTATCTGCCCTCTACCCTCTTGAGCAAGCTTTAGAATTGGTCTCTTAAGAACTAAAGAGTGCACAATAGCTAGACTGTGGAGCCAACCTAGATGCCCTTCAATGGATGAATGGATAAAAAAAAAAAATGTGGCATTTATACACAATGGAATATTACTCAGCACTAAAAAATAACAAGATCATGGCATTTGCAGGGAAATGGATGGCATTAGAGCAGATTATGCTAAGTGAAGTTAGTCAATCCCTAAAAAACAAATGCCGAATGTCTTCTCTAATATAAGGGGGGTGACTCAAAATGGGGTAGGGAAGAAGAGCATGAGAAGAAAATTACCTTTAGATAGGGAAGAGAGGTGGGAGGGAGAGGGAGGGAGAATGGGAATTGCATAGAAGAGGGAAGGAGACCCCTTCGTTATACAGAATACAGGTATGACGATGTGAGGGGGAAAAAAAAAGAAGTGGTCACATTAGATTAGGTAGAGAGAAGTGATGGGAGGGGAGGGGAGGGGAAGGGAAGGGGGGAATGGAAGGACAGCAGAATAAAATAGACACTAGTATTGTTGTGGGTATATACGTGACTGCATGACCAATGTAACTCTGCAACCTGTACACTCAGAAAAATGAGAAATTACATCCCATCTGCCCATCTAATTCAAATGTATGATATGTCAAGATCATTGTACTGTCATGTGTAACTAATTAAAACAAATTTTAAAAAAGGAAACAGGAGAATAGAAAAAAAAAAAAAAAAGAACTGAAGAGTGCATCTTAAGTCTCATCTTAGATTGCTACTCTTGCCAGAACCATCCCTGAAAAATACTACTATCTACTACATAATTTACCCTCCTTTCTAATCCTATATTTCTTACCTCCTGCCCCATTTCCAGTGCTCTTCCACCTCAGATTAACAGGAGATGACAGGGGATAAAAAGCCAAATGGTCAGGAAGATATGCTCAGGAGTACCTTTCATAGTCTAGAAAGAGCTGTGTTTTACTGACCAAGCTGTTATCAAAGACCTGATCTACACAGAATAGTATTTCTTTTCCTGGGTCATGAGGACAAAAGAACCTATTCTAAAACTGTCTTCCCAATTATGGTGCTGATCATACCTCATAGGAGAAAGAAAACATCTGCCAAGTGATGCTGAAATAAAATATTTGCCTGATAGAATAGCAACCAAACAAAACATTTTAAAGTTTTCTCAGTACAAAATAATTTTGCCCATATTATATTCTAAGCATTTCAAATTTCCATTATTTAAATAAAATGGAAGAACAAATTACTAATACCCATATGAAACTTCTCTAAAGCTTCTTTCTATGTGGCCTTTGGATTTTCTGTAATACAATCTTGGTACCCCACAAAAGCTGTTTTCGTCCTCCAGATAAAGACTTTGAAACCCAATATGTAAAAACTTCTGGCTCTAATATACACCAGTTAACAATGGCCACTTATTCCAGTGTAACAATTTGTTTGCTTCCTGTCAAATGAGTGCTACCTATATGATAGAAGGAAAAATCCATGAGGTAAGTGAAAGCAAAATAACAAAAAAGACACCCTTACCATTGCTCATCTGTGTGCAGGGAAGTTTCTTCTCACTTTTTCTATCATTGTTAGTAGGAAAGGCAGACAGCTCTCTGTCTGCTGATATCAGGCTCTCCAAGACAGTGGCATCTTGGGGAGGATGTGACAAAAATGTCTCCTTGGGCATCTGGACCATGAGGCTGGATAGTGTCTGATCTAGAACATCCTCCTCAGCAATATAGGTGTATGGACAGTATTCACGGGTCCTTGAGTATATGTTGGCATTGTCGTAACAATCTGAGCAGATCACCCGGGTACCAGTGCCACCTAATGACAACATGGGACAGAATCCAAACCATTTTTCTGTTAAGGAATTAGTTTGCATCACCAATTTCCATCCTTGAACTCTTAAACCTTATAAATAAGATGAAGTTTCAAGATCTGTGAATGGACTCATTTAATCTTCACAATATCCTCATATGGTAGGTACTATCATCATCCCCACTTTATAGATAAGGTAACTATAGAACATGAAAGGAAGAAGGTAACTTGACAGAAGTAATGTTGCCAGAGTGAAAAACCCAGGCACTCTGGCTTTAGAGCCCACACTCTTGAATATTATGTTAAACCATCTCTGCCCAGCCCGGATAAGTCAAGTTCAAAGGGATCCAAGACAGGGCTTGCACTGTGCCAAGATACATGCTTAGCCTAAGCAAATTAAAGCAGACAACAAGGAGTTTAGGATGACTTTACTTCATGAGAGACCATGTTACTTTTAAAAGTCAAGAGGTTAGCAATACTAACTGCTAAAATTATCCCTAGTCTAAGTCCTGCCTGACAAGCATGTGGTGATAGAAGTAAAAGTTTAATAAAGTAAAGAGCAGATCTAAAGTAATACGTTCATAGTCATAGAGCTAGAAACAGGAAGAACTCGGAATCAAATCCAGTCTTTCTATTCCTTCATTCATCTCCCCATGTTTTGGCACTCCCTATGGAAACAAGAGTCCTGAGAAGTAGGGGTGAGAAGTAGGATTGAGAAGTCAGGTCCATTTAATTAGGATATGTTTATCTCTCTCTGATGTTCTTCATTATATGATGAATGAGAACCACTGTTGTACTTTATTTATTTATTTTTTTGTACCAGCCACATCCCCAGCCCTATTTTGTATTTTATTTAGAAACGGGGTCTCACTGAGGTGCTTAGCACCTCATCCTTGCTGAGGCTAGCTTTGAACACTATTGCACTTTAAACTTTACTGATTATCTACATGTTAGCAGGAGACACTAACTTCCCTTGGATGTGATCTGAGGAATGCTCCTCCCTGAAAAGTCTTTTATTAAGACTCTGGTCAACTTTTATCCTATTTTGCATGAAGCTAAATATTTTCACTTTAAAATATTGCTCAGAGCCAGGTGTGGTATGAACCTGTAATCCCAGGGACTTGGGAGGCTAAGGCAGGAGGATCACAAGTTTGAAGCCAACCTGAGAATTTAGTGAGGCCATATCTTGAAGTAAAAAATAAAAAAGGACTGGGGCTGTAACTCAGTGGCAAAGTGCCCTGGGTTAAATCCCTGGTACCAAAAGGTAAAAAATAAAATATTACTTCAGGTTAATGGGAAAATTGAACACTGAAAAATGAATGACAGGACAGGCTGAAGTTGGTAAGCATAAACATAAATCCTTACCATCAGTGCCTTTGTGTATATATCCACTGGCAGGAGGCATGAGCTGCTGGTGACTGCCTGCCTCAGAGTTGCTGTATCCTTCCTGTGGCTCAGACAGTGTTCCTTGGGAAGACAAGTAACTAGGAATGTCTGCAGGCAAATTGAGCTCCTCTGTTTAAAAAAAAAAAAAAAAAGACATCTGTAACTTTCACATAAAGTTACACAGTTAAAGCCAACACTCTGAAGGCTATTTTCTCAATGTGCTCTACTCTGATACAGCTGGCCAGGGGTGGGGAAAAAAGGGCACCACTGTTCCCCTTCAGAAAAACTATGATAGAACTAATTCCTCAAATAGGTTGTTATATCAAGGAAACTGGAAATTTTAACAGAAAAACTTCCTTATGCCTGTATTAGGTATAATGTATCATAGGCTCCTAAGTTTTTGTACTTAATAATAAATCCTACTCTACATTCTTTTTTTATAATTTTTTTTTTTTTAGTTGTAGATAGACACAATCTTCATTTTATTTATTTATTTTTATGTGGTGCTGAGGATCAAACCCAGTGCTTCATGCTTGCAAGGCCAACGCTCTACCACTGAGCCACAACTCCAGCCCTGCACTACATTCTTGACTCAAGTATTAAGTCACAGGTATCATCTGGGTACCACTCACCTGTGTTTGTGATACTATAGTCTTCATTTTTCCTTCTCATATGGTAAATAACAATGACCCAGATTAAAGAGGTGCCCACAACACAGCAGACCACAACAATGATGACAATGCCAACTGTAGTCCAGCCATCATCTTCATGCCCAATGCTACTCTGAGAAGAGTCACAATTGGGGGATGAAATGACATTTAGGTAAATATGGCCACGTTCTGTCCCAAGGGTATTAGACATGATACAGGTATATTTCCCGGCATCTTCTAGTCCAGCATCTACAATGATGAGAAGCTGGTTGGCAGCAGCAAAGAAGTGTCTCTCTGTCACCAGCAGTGGTCCATCATCTTTAGTCCAATTGAGGCGTGGAGCAGGACTTCCTCCAGCTATGCACTGTAATACAGCCGTTTCACCTCGGGTTACTGTCTTGTCTTCCAGAGGTCTAATAAATGAGGGTGTCTCTAAAAGGGAAACATTTAAAATATCAAGTTAGGCAATTGTTGGGGCTGGGGATGTGGCTCAAGCAGTAGCGCGCTCGCCTGGCATGCGTGCGGCCCGGGTTCGATCCTCAGCACCACATACAAACAAAGATGTTGTGTCTGCCAAAAACTAAAAAAATAAATATTAAAATTCTCTCTCTTAAAAAAAAAAAAAAAAAGTTAGGCAATTGTATTCTCTAAATCCTATTGAATTTGACTGATGGGAAGATTCTAATCTTGTATGAATCAAATGTATGAAATATGATATGTCAAGGGCTTTGTAATGTTTTGAACAACTAATAATAAAAAAAGAATCTTCTAATATAATAATTCTATTATAATTCTATCTTAGAATATGTTTCAGACCCCCCCCCCAAAAAAAAAAAAAAAAAAAACTTAAATTGAGGCTGGGGTACAGCTCAGTGGTAGAGCCCTTGTCTAGTATGTACGAGGTCCTGGGTTTGACTCCCCTGCACAACAACAAACAAACAACAGAAGCTCCAAAACCTAAATTTCATCTCAACATTTCTACTTTGGGCATGCTCTCCCAAAAAACTAAAAAAGTTATATGCAAAGAAGTTTATTACAAAATCAACTGCAATTTAAAAATATAAGGACATATCTAAAAATCGCTCTTCAAGAAAATAATTAGAGTCACATGATTCTTTATGAAGACTTTCTTTTAATGACAAGGTAATCCTTGTAATACAATATTAAACTAAAAAAAGGTAGAAATACTTAACTACATAAAAATAAATTTTAAAAATGTTTAGAATATGCTAAAATATGAGTGACTTACCTAAATTTTCTGTAACCTTAAAATTTTAAAATACTAATTTTTCTGATTAAACAAGTAACAAATCTAACAAACTTCTTTTAAAAAACCCTGCCATCTAGGGAAATACAGAACTAGAAAGAAGAATTTGCTTTAAACTTGAGAATAGGACTCATTAGAAAATAAATAAAAATTCTAGTAAGGGAGATATTTGAAGAAAAAACATTTTGCCAGAATACAGGATTATGAAGCACAATAGAGGGGAAAACAGAAAATCTAATGAGTTAATACAACGGTTATATGTTGTATTTTTTAATTAACAGGGGAAAATAATTAAATTATCTTAGGTTCTTTGTGAAACAGTATGTGGAGCATTAGAGAATGGCTAGAACATTTCTAAGAAAAACAGTAGGACTTGTAATGTGAGCTTTCTGAAAAGTTAATAAAATACACAAAGTAGAAAAATTACAGAGGGAGACATAAAATTACAGAGGGAGACATAAAATTAAGGGATTTGAATTTTCAATTTATGAGATAAAGAACCCTAATTCTGCCCTCAGCATTTCCCCAGATTTCAGTTATCTTTTTTTTTTATTATTTTTTTTTTATTTTTTATTTTTTTAAATTTTTTTTTAAAGAACTATTTTTTTTTTTAGAGAGAGAGAATTTTAACATTTATTTTTTAATTTTCGGCGGACACAACATCTTTGTTTGTATGTGGTGCTGAGGATCGAACCCGGGCCGCACACATATCAGGCGAGCGCGCTACCGCTTGAGCCACATCCCCAGCCCCAGATTTCAGTTATCTAACCCACTAATATCCTAGGCTGACATAACTTAAATAAAGTGACAAAATACTAACAAAGGTAAAAAATCACAACTGAAATCTCAAAATTATTTTGCAAAATAATAATAATTTGCAAAACAAAATCAGCTCTTAAAAGCTCCCAAAATAGTAGGGATACTTGAAGCAGTTAATGTACCTAAAACTGTTAGAGAGGCATTTGCTGAGAGGCCTCCTGCTATATTTTGCGCCATGCAACTATAGATTCCCATGTCTTCTATTTTCACATTGGCAATGAAGAAGACATCATCCTCAGGCATGACGTGCATGCGTCTTTCTCGAGCCGCAGGAAAGTCAGTACCACCATCTTTCTGCCAGGAAATCTGAGGTACAGGGTGCCCCTCTGCAGCACATTCTAATCTGGCCATGGCACCAGTGCGGATAGTCAGATCCATTGGAGTTTTCAGAAAAGATGGCATCTCTGTTCCAAGAAAGATCATTAAGAAAAAAGTCAGGAGAGGGAAAAATATACACAACACGCCAATCTGACAGGCAAAATATCAATTGTTGAAATGATGCATTTCTTTGAGAAGACATTCTCTCTGGATTGACAGTCAATACAACTTTAGAAGCCATCTTTCCTCTCAGAAACTCAGAGTATTTAGAGCACAATGACAACTAACTCTTCTAGAATATCTGACATGCCTGTGATTTTCCTGATGGGATTAGGGAAAGCAGAAGGCCACAAAGATTTCTGAACTCCATATTTCAGAACTTGATATTTAATAATACTCTCATATGTATGAAGTTAAATGGTGCTTCCTAAACTAACATCAACACAGTGGTCAAGGAAACTGCATATTTAAAAAAAAAAAATAGGTCTTTAAAAATCTAAGAAACACAGAAGACAAATACATTTTTTGGTTGCATAAAGTCTAAAATGTGACACTTATACAACATAATAAGCAATAGATAAAGCTATCCTGAAGTTTTTTTTTTTCCAACCACAGAAAGAAGAGCATTAATTTAAAAAATGATTCTTTGTGACTAATTTAGACAATAATACCAATCTAAACTAAATATAGTCAAGGAACATAATTCCTTACCATTCACTATCAGTTTGGCTTTTTGAGAATAATTGGAACCAAAATGATTAGTAACAATACACTGGTATTTTCCTTCATCTGTGAAATTCACATTGAAAAGATGTAAAATACTAGTATATTCCAGAGCTTCTCCAGCTTGCTGCCGGTAACGAACAAAATTCTCAATATCCACATCATATAGGATTTCACTATTTTTGCGCCACACAGTGGACATGGGTGAATCACTGCTACTCACTGCAGTACATGTCAGAGACACATTAACTCCTCTTAGAGCAACTGTGGATTCAGGATGTGTCCTTATCTGTGGCTTGAGAAAATCATCTGAGGGGGGAAAAATGCAGTAGTAGACATGTTAATTATTTACTTGTACTTCTTTAGATTCAATTTTAAAACAAATACCGTAAAACTGTGAGTTCTATTTATACAGTGGCATATTAAAGTTGAAAAAGATTATAGAGCTGATGTCCAACTCCTTTGTTTAAAGATGGGGGAAACATTACAGGAAAGTATTTTCTGTAAATGAGCAAGTAAATGGCTTGCTCAAAGTCATTAAATCACTGGCAGAACCTAGACAGGAACTCAGGCTCCTGACATAAGGATCCAGTTTTACTATCCATGATACTTATGTGCCTATAATGTATTTCTTAAGCATTACCAGTTAGCGGAGAAAAAAGGAAACCTTAGATTAGAATTTCAAGACAAATTCTAATTCTATTATCCCTTTCTTATTATATATTACATATATTATAACTATTACCCTTTCCATGCCAATATAGAAAATGGGGATATGTACTATTCTATTTCACAGAGTACCATCAATAATACAAAATACTTGGCAGTACTCTGTGAATACTCACAACATTAAAATAGTGAAAAAAAATCCAAGTATGTCAAATGTACAACTAAAGATTAGTGTAGGACTGACTAATCAACTATAGATTTATAAACTGTAACGCTACTGGGTTGATTCAGAGAGGTTTGCATATGAATTCTTAACTTTATTATCTTTACTGAATAATATTTCACCGTATAAAAGTGATATGCAGAATGATAGACTATAAGAGATATGTCTACATTTAATTACTAAAATCAAAAAGAAATGTGCAGCAACATATGCAGAATTTAGTCTTTATTAGATTCTTTGTTTCCTTCTTTAAAATTTGTAAAAACAATGGAAGTATTTTGTGGGCCTGAACTTGCAAGTACCCCAAGTATCATTAAGTAGATTGTAAAATTAGATCTGGAAAAACAAAAGTACTCAAACGAACACAAACACTACTGGTACGCAACACAGATGTACTAAAGTCATCCCTCTATATCCAAGAGCTTTGCATCCAAGAATTCAACCAACGGAAGAATTAAAATAACAGAGGAAGTCAAAAGTAGTGGTGCACACCTATAATCCTAGCAATACGGAGGGTAAGGCAGGAAGATTTCAAGTTTGAAGCCAGCCTCAGCAACTTAGTGAGTCCCTAAGCAACTTAGCAAGACCCTGTCTCAAAATTAAAATAGGGGCTGGGGATATACCTCAGTGTTAAAATGCCCCTGGGTTCAATCCCCAGTACCAAAAAATAAATAATAACAGGAAAAAATTATTTTGTTCTGAACATGTACAGACTTTTGTTCTTATTCCTAAAATTATTCCTTAGATAAAACAGTATAACTATTTACATAGCATTTATATCACATTAGGTATCTTAAGTAATTTAGAGTTAATTAATATGCAGATATTGCATTTATATGCAAATACTATATCATTTTATATGAAGGACTGAAACATCCAAGGATCTTGGAAGCAAACCCCTGTGGAAGCTGAGGGATGACTATTCCATGTGAAGTTAAGAATCATACCTTCTACTTTAAAGGAAATTTGAATGTAAAGGCAAAATTTCCAAGTTGAAAAAGATTTATACCAGAAATTATAAGTATTAAAATCAAGACACCTTGTCTATGTCTATCCCCTCAAGAAAAAAAAAATCCAAGTCTTAAAAAAAAAATCCTTCAGTCTTAAAAATCTGCATTTAAAAATACAGCACATGAAATCAGTACCTTATTATACATAAAACTTGCTGTACATGTATAATTACAGCATTGCTGATGACGACATACACTGCTGGTCACAACACAACTAGTGTTCTTTCTTTTTTTAGAATACCTGTGGCACTTTTCAAGATCTACAATAAGTATTCATGTAAAAAAAAAAAATCATACTTATTGATTTGGCAGAAGGATCACTTAAGCCCAGATTCAAGGATAGCCTGGGCAACATAGTGAGACCTATCTCAAAAAAATAAAGAATATACAGAGGTGGACTGGGGCACATAGCTCAGTGGTAGAGCGATGTACAAGGCTCTAGGTTTGATTCCTAGCACTGAAAAAACAAGTAAGATGACAGAGGGAAAAACTGCTAATGAAATATTAAATAAAAGAACACAAAATTTAACCTCTGATAATTAAAATATAATCACTGAAACCCAGGTTAGAGAATAACACAGAAAAATGGAAATAGATATGCTAATGGGAAAGATAGTGGTTCTTTTCTTTTTAATTCTGTTAATACAGTTAAATAAGTAATATATAAAATTTTAAGACAAAAATACAAACCACAGACAAAATCTTTCAGGTCCACATTCAGGATGCTTTGCCCTGCTAGCCATTCAGGATGTGCACAGCTCACATTTACAGAATGATGAAAGTTATTATCAACCAGCCACTGAAGTAACCACTTCAAATGACAGTCACAGAGCAAACTGCTTGTGTTTAGAATCCTGCAGAAAAAAGAGGAAAAGTACCCTTTGTTTTACTTTTCAATATAAGTTTCTTCGGTATTAAAACCTTCATGCATTTTTCTTGCCAAAATGTTTAATCTGAATCTAATCCTAAAAGTGAAGAACATCAAAAAGGGGGAAACAACAGCAAGGGAACCATTTTTTTTTTTTTAATATTTATTTTTAGTTTTCGGTGGACACATCTTTATTTTATTTTTATGTGGTGCTGAGTATCGAACCTAGTGTCCCGCACATGCCAGGTGAGCACGCTACCGCGTGAGCCACATCCCCAGCCCCGAGGGAACCATTTTAAAGAAGACTAAAAAGCCACTATAACCCAATAAAATGATTATTTAAAAAATATATTTATTTAGTTGTAGATGAATACAATATCGTTATTTATTCATTTTTATGTGGTGCTGAGGAAGTCAAAAGTAGTGGTGCATACCTGTAGTGGTGTCTCACACATGCAAGGCAGGTACTCTACAACTGAGCTACAGCCCCAGCCCAATATGATTCTTAACTGGAAAAAAATACATCTAAAAAGGACATTTTTTGACAACAGGGAAATTTGTGAACTATTTCTAAACACTGGTGTTTTGATGTCTACAGCTTTTAAATGGTCACACACACAGAACAATTGTGTATACAAATATCCATGTGTGTGGCAAGGAAGCAAAAGTGAGAACAAGTCCCAGAGCCAACAAGAGGAAGAAGGGAAACAGATAAATGTGGCAAAAAAAAAAAAAAAATAATAACTGGTGAATCAAAATAGAGGGCATTCATTGTCCCTTTTAAACTTCTGAGGTTTAAATTTTTGAAAATTTTGAAAAGAGGGCAAAGGTTCACTATGTATTTTAGAACAGTGAGAGATCTTTGTTGTAAAGAGTATATAATTATTTCCAAATTTCATCAAAACTAAAAATACTTCTGCCCTATGGTAATGTGTACTGCAACTTAGACTAAGAGCCACTAAAATATGATTTATGACCTACAATAGGAGTATAACACATATCTGAAAAATCACCATTCTCCATGACCTCTTAAATCTCCTGATGACTTAGAAGAAAGGAAAGCAAATAATTTTGAGACTGTAACCTGCTTTGTGTGTATGATCATAATCTTCATCTAGGTTTAAAGCCTGGTATAAAGTATCTACAAGTCTGTTCCACAGAGTGTTTAAGGGTAACTCAAAAATCCATATTTCAAGGGTAATTTTAACTAAACAAACCATAGTTCCCTTTTGCATTTAAGAATTTTTAAATACTTTTCATGCATGCATGCATTCATTCATTCATAGAGAAATATTTGAGAGTCTATCACTATATGCCAGGCACTGTTCTAGGCTTGGGCACAAACTCCTCATGGAGCTTTTGCATGTATCTAGAGTCAAATTAGCAATAAATAAATGCAAAATACAATGTCAGAAAAATGTTAAGTGCCATGAAGAAAAACAAAGCTAGGCAAAGACATAAGAGACAGAAGCTATTAGTTTAGATAAAGTAGTCAGGAAAAGTTTTTTGAAGAGATGGCAGTTGGTCAAAGACCTGAAAGTGGTGAAAGGGCAGATGGTGCAAAGATCTGACTTACGAGTATCCCACCCAGATAGAGGAAACCACATGCAAAGGCCTTGAGGCAGATAAGCTTAGTCTGCTCTACCAAAATCAACGAGGCCAGCTGGGTGTGGTGACACTCACCTATAGTCCCGCACTCAGGAAACCGAGGAAGGAGGATCCCTTGAGCCTAGGCATTTAAGACCAGCCTGGGCAACATAGCAAGACCACGAGCCCCTCACATCCCCCCAAAAAGGCAAGGAGATCATCTAGTATAAAGCAAAGGGATAGTGACAGGAATGAAGTCAGAGGGCTGGGCTGGGAATAAGTGCATTATAAACTAACGAAAGGAGCCAGGCACAGTGATGCACACCTGTAATCCCAGCTACTCAAGAGACTGAGGCAGAAGGATCACAAGTCTGAGGCCAGCTCCAACTTAGCAAGGCCCCAAGCAACTTGGTGAGATCCTGTCTCAAAATGAAAAGGGCTGGGAAAGTAGCTCAGTGGTAAGGTAACACTGGGTTCAATCCCAGTACCCCAAAGTAAATAAACTAATGAAAGAACTTCAGGGCTGGGGCTGAGGCTAAGTGGTAGAGCAGTTGCCTCGCACATGAGGTACTGGATTTGATCCCCAGCATCACACTTAAAAAACAAAAAACAAACAAACAAAAAACCTTAAATAAACAAAAGTATTGTGTCCATCTACAACTAAAAATAACTTCAGTTTTACTTTTTCAGCCCTCAAGGTATCAGGAAGACACTGAAAGGCTTAGAGGAGTGACATGGTTTGGTTTATGTTTTCTTAGGTATAATATAAACTGGGCTCATATCCTAACTCCACGACCAACCTTAGACAACATACTACATGCTCCAAAATCCCAGTTTTTATTTCTGGAAAATGCAAATGAGAATGTTTACCTCAAAAAATAATTTTTAATAAAGCGTTTAGCACAGTACCTGGCCACATAAAATACTTAATTCACAGTAGTTTCTTCACTTGTATTTCTTTTGCTTTCCATCCTTCACATACTGACACTGCAGTATACTCTATTAGGTGCTTGTGTGCATTCTCCCAGTAAGTGTTTGAAATACACACCAAAATATTAACAGGTCTTTGAGTAGTGAGGATTCAGGACTCCTTCTCTCCTTCTTGGTTTAACTGTATTTTATAATTTTTCTACTATAAGTGTATAATTGTAATGAAAACTGTTTTTCAATTTATATGTAACTCTTTCATCTACCTAAATACATTCATAAAAAGCAATGCAAGTAATACTAAAAAGCACAGATTTTAATAAATGTTGACCTAAAAAGTAGTATAGCCAGGCACAGTAGTGCATATCTGTAATCCCAAGCAGCTCTTGAAGTTGAGGCAGAAGGATCACAAGTTCAAAGCCAGCCTCAGCAACTTGGTGAGACCTTGTCTCAAAAAATAAAAAGGGCTGGGGATGTAGCTTGGTGGTTAAGCGCCCCTGCGTTCAATCCCCGGTACAAAAAAAGAAAAAAGTATTGTAATTTAAGATTTCAAGTAACCAAAAAGCAACCAAAGCTTTGCAATTAAAAATTTTTTTCACCAGAGTTACTATAACAGTTTGTTCAAATCAACTGTCAGGCCAGGCACACTGGCACATACCTATAATCCCAGCAGCTGGGGAGGCTGTGGCAGGAGGATCTTGTGAGTTCAAAGCCAGCCTCAGCAACTTAGCAAGACCCTGTCTCTATAAAATATAAAAAGGGCTGGAGATGTGGCTTAGTGGTTAAGTACCACTGGGTTCAATTTCCTGTACCAAAAAAATAAAATAAAAAGAAAACTGTCAGAGAAAAAAAATTACTCAATAATATTCATTAAAGTCAGCATTCCCTTGTGTTCAAGGAAAAAAGAGATGTCTTTCTTTCCTTTGAACAATATGGGTCATTTTTTTTCATTCTGTCACCTTCTGTTCACTAAGGACCAGCTGAATCATCTGCTGGGACCCAGGAGTAAAGAGTATTTGCTAGGTGGTATGAGCAGTCAGGCATTTAATGAGGGAGATTTCTATGAAATTGAAAAACAGAGGCTAATGGTTAAACTAGAAATTCAGTTTGTTTTTTTCTTTTTGCAGTATTGGGGATTAAACCCAGGGGTAATTTACCATCAAGCAACATAACCAGCTCTTTTTACTTTTTATTTTGAGATAGGGTCTCACTAAGTTGCTGAGGCTGGCTTCAAACTTGTAATCCTCCTCCCTCAACCTCCAAATCACTGGGATTAAAAGTGTGAACCACCACAACTAGCCATAAACTCATTTTTTTAGGTCCAGAGGAGAGTCAGTTGAAAAGACTTCTACTAGATAGTGGGTTCAAAGCACCTTCAGGTGAAGTTAGGACAAGCCAGACAATTTGACAGATTTTCCTGGTTTACAGATTGTCTCTGTTAATGTCACCAGCTATTAAAGTGAACTTTTTGAGTGATTCACAATAACAGGCATGAAGGTAGGCTATATACATGATCCATTTGCTGATTTCTCTGAAGTTTCTATTAAGTCATCCCGCTTCAATTTAGAAGGCTTTGCGGAAAAGGTCTGTTTTAGTTATGCCTAAAGTTATGCCTACCCACTAGTCAGAAGGGTAGGAAAAACTGGAGCACCAACTTGGAGAGCTACAGCCAGATATTGGAGGAAATAAGAGGAACTGGGAATTTAGAAGAACTAGCAAAATGAACTGGTAGAATCCACAGGGTGTACCATACTTTTCCACTGAAACAAAGATTTCTCTCTATATAAATACTTCACTCTTATTTACAAAATAAAATAAGCTATAGTTACTTTTGAGATTTGGCCTGAATGTCTACATAGGTGCAGCAAGAATGGTAACTGACCACAAGGCTTTTTAAATTTGCTTTGCTGGAATTTTTCTAAGAATCTCAGATTAGACTTTATGTTTTTTGTCATGTTGGAGATCAATCAAACCCAGGGCCTCTTGCACACTAGGTAGGCACTCCCACGACACTCTCTCAGGCTCCAGATTAGCCTTTTAAAAGCCTCTCAAATCCACAGAGCCAAGTCAGAAACTCATCACCAGACTTTTCCTTCAGTCTTTAGATTTGAAGGAATTCTTTTCTTCTTGAGGGTGTCAAAATACTCTGAAATTTCCAGGACTGCCAAAAGGAACCTTGCTCATTTATGAGGCCCAAAGACAGGAACCCCATAAGCAAGATACCACCAGGCCAGTATTTCCAACAGGCACTTTAAGTTCCAGGGCTTATAAAGTCAGCGTTGGTTCTTTTGTTAAAGCTGTCTGGTCAGATCTGATTTTATACATCATTGTCAAATGATATTCCAGTCAAATCGCTGGTAATATAATCAATGTTTTCAATTGGATCCTGTTACAAGAACATATTCCTATTGAACTTATACAAATAATAATATTACTAGGAAAATAAGAATACTCTCTAAGCTCCTGAATTCT